CGAGTCCTCTGTACCCTCTCGAAATTCGCAGCGATTCTCTGATTGCAGAGGATGCTGCACCTAGGGCAAAGTATCATGCATGTATCTCCTTTGTGGCATGTCATGAGGTAATCCTTGAGACTAGCATCTCCAGTGTGATTATCCTCCATTCTATACTTCTCTTTTTCTAAGTATTTTTCTACCTCCTCCATCTCAGAGCGAGGCCTCTCCATATCCACCATATTTATCTCAACATCTTCCCCCTTAGCTTCATCATCGCCCCATCCTGTGGGCTTTATATCCTCAATCTGAACCTTCGAACTCTCTGGGGCAGAATATTTGACCAAATAGTCAAATTTTCCATTGGGTTCCCCTAGAGTGTCCCATATTTCCTTCTGAGGGGAAGTTGGCTTCGTGATTTGGACTTTCTCCAATTCCAGCCTCAAGCCTTCAGTGACCTGTGTTAGTTCTTGGTTTTGATTTCCCTGGCCTTCAGTAGCCTGGGTTTCTTTTGCAACAGCTACAGGTGCTGCTTCAATCAAAGTCTCTGGCATCTTCTGGATGTCTTCAGTGACCTCCTTATCGACTTCGACCATCACCCAGTTTTCAGTTTCAGTACCTTTCTCTCCTGTTAGGGCATCACTTTGGTCAGTTTCCACCATGTTAATCTCTCCAATGCATACAGGCTCGGAGTAGTTGGTGTCTGCGACGTCCAAGGGATCTTCGTCCACTTTCATCTTCGCCTTATCAGCAAACTTTAGTCTGCCATCTTTGATTGCATTTTGAATTAGGTCCCTGAAAAGAAAACATTGTGAGGTTTTGTGGCCTAGGAAACTATGATATTTGCAAAATCCTCTCTTCTTTCTCTGATCCAAAGGAGGTATTTTGACATTTGATGGCACAATGAGTTGGCCATCTTTGACAAGTAAATCAAAAATCTCGTCACATTTAGTGACATCGAAGGTATAAACCTTCTTTGGGAATTTGTCACTTTTCTCATTTTCAACAATCTCTTTCCCTTTTGTGGGAACCAATAATTTGCAGGAGTAAGGTGGAGCCTGTTTTAATTCAGCGAGGTCGATTTCGACCTCTTCGAATTTGAATTCAGGATATTCTTCTACTTCCTCAGTTCCAACATAGAAGATCCTTTCTTTCTTGTTGTTCTTAAAGACTCTGGCCTTTTCGGCCTTTAGCCTTTCGACCTGTCGAACCCTATCGGCTAATTGAGCCATATCCCTCAAATATTGAGTGTCTAGTTTCTTTCGAATAGAGTAATCCAAACCACCAGCGGCCATTTCGACTAACTCATGTTCAGGCACTACTGTGTAAGATCTGGATTTCAAAAGCCTAAATCTATTCAGATAATCATCTATGGGTTCGGTGAACTTTCTCTTGACACTGGCTAACTCCTTCAAGCTTATTTTCGACTGTCCCATGTAAAATTGTTCATGGAATAATCTCTCCAAAAGAGCCCAAGTATCAATGGACCCAGGAGGCAAAGTAGTAAACCATGTGAAGGCGTTTTTAGTCAAGGAACTTGGGAAATATTTGATCCTGAGATCTTCATTATTGGCTATATCTCCTGCTTCGGTTAGATATCTAGCTATGTGTTCGACTGTTGACTCATTGGTATCCCCAACGAACTTTGTAAATTTAGGGACTTTATATCCCCTTGGTAAATCAGTATGCATTATGCAATCTAATATAGGAGAAACATAATTTGGCCTTCTCATTCCTGTGTTGAGGCCATTCTGGGCCATGACTCTCTCTATCATGGTGGTTAGATTGTTTTCTGCCAAGATGTTATCGTTTCGAATTCTATGAACGACATCATCAGCATCTTGATTTCGACCAACCATGACAACCCCCCTAGGTTGTTCTTCTCGAAACTCTGGGGCTTCTAGCCTTTCGACCCTTGCCCCTGGTTCCATAATTTCTCTTTGTGGGCCTGGGATTATTGGGGCTTCTAACCTTGGTGCCCTTGCCCCCAAGTTAACTTCTTCTCTAGGTGGTCTATAAATTGGGTCGTTAGCAACTTGTTCCATAACAGGCACGTTTGCTCGAAATCCCGCCTGATTCTTCCTACGCCTTTCTGGGGGAGCAAAGAAATCTTCTATTCGACTCATGTTGTCAGCGTTTTCCCTGTTTGTCACAGTCACATTTTGTACTATTGGGGCAAATATTTCCTGCATAGTTTGTGCTAACACCCCTATCATATTATGGTTACTGTCATCCATCAATTGCCTAAAAGCCAACTGGTTTTCTGTGGTTAAAATAGGCATTGTGCTATTACCCACTGACCCTTGGTTATTTGTCATAAACTGATTCGCCCCAGACCCAGACCCTAATTGTGGTGATGAATTCGATGTGGAATTGTGTAAACCTGCCATAAAGGAAGTTGGCATTCCATAAGAGGAATTTATGGTTCTATTACCATCGAAACCGGGTGGTCTAGTTAGTGGAGTGGCGAAATGGGATTGTGTCCCTGATGGTGGAACGAATCCCCCAGGGTAACCAATGGTTCCAGTACTTCCTAAGATCGAACTATTAGTTGATATGCCACTTACTCCATTGGTGGCTATATTACTGGTTGAGGATGCAACAGACTGTGCATTCGAAGGGATCACATTAGATGTTCCTATCGAAGTGGACACATTAGTGCCTGTTGTATGTGGGGCATTTTGTTCCCCTTGTTGATTGTCAGAATTAGACATCTTGTTCAAACGTTTTCTTCTGGATAAGGTTTGGTTGCTGTTGGTTATTTTACCACTTCTTAAGTTCATAAAACAACAAACTTCTTAGGTTCCAACGTTTTTATAATGTTTATGTCTCAACAATCTTTATTTCTAATTTCTAATTATTGGTCCCACCGGGTGTGCCAATTTGTTTCCAGTGATTTCTGGTAAACAACCGCTAGTCTTCCAAACTATCGAATAAACTTACTGACTGTTATTCAATTTCTCTGGTAACTCACAGAATCGACTAGATTGATCCTAGGATTCCTTGGTCATTAGGGTAACTCATGATCGAACAGATATTCATGGTTAGTATTTGAGTGTTGTGTAGGTGTTTGACTTATTTCGATTTCTCCTTTACAGATCTAAAGATGTAACCAAAATGTATGTGCGCGAAACTAACTTGCATGAATAAATGTTAATTATAAAGACATGTAAAATTGCATAAAAGGCAAGTAAATGGCTTCGAATTATAAAAACAGTTAATGTAAAAGATGCTCTGGAACGTAAAAGATTCGAAATATGAAGAAAGCGTTTAATGCAAGAAATCTGTAAATGACTTTAAGTAAAAATAGGCTTTCGAAAGACAAAACTTGAAGATAAAGGCATGAAAAGTATGATAGTTTTCTGAAATGTAAAGTGCTTGAAATGTAAAGAAAGCATTAAAATGTAAGGCTTTAATGAAGAGATTTCGAAATAAAGAGACTTTGGATGAGAAAACTTGTAAATGGTATTTGGCAGAAAGATAAAGGAAAGTGCTGGAAATGATAAAAGGTTTTCATTAAATCATAAACATGTGGTGCTATCATACGTACATTACTGAGTATTTAGTACAATAGATATGACACACGAAATCCTAATACTAAGACTTCTATTTATACTAATTCGACCATAACGGTCTTGCTATAAGATTATGCCACGTTCAGAACATGCAGAACAATGCCTCTCTCTTGTTTCCACGTGTCTCCAAATGCTCCAGCACATAAATTTCAAACTTCGAATGTCCCACTTTCATTTGAATTTCAAACGTTTTGGTACTTCTCCGTTTCGAATGCACTTCTCAGACACAGCCTTGTTGTCATTTCGAGACTTCTTTAGATATGTTCCCATAACTGCCACTCGAAGCTTCAAGCTTTGATATGCTTATTCGAAACACTCCTTCTGCTACTTCGAAACATGACGCTTTGTTTCATTTCGATCGAAACGTTCAACTTATTTGGCTTCTAATAATATTATCAAAATCTTCAGCCAACACTCACTTTAGACGAAGAGAATGTGTTAGGCACCCCTCATCTATCTTATTCATAAGGATACTAGGGTTTAGGTTAATGGTTTAGGAACAAGATTTTAGTTTTAATTAGGAGAACTCGCCACGATTTTGAGTCGTGTGCCTACGTATCCTTTTATGAGGAATCAGAGTCCTAATTCATAGTTAGCAGTGTTGGTTGGTGTTTTTATAGGATTGTGTAGAATTGCTTTCGAATAATCCTTGAACCTTGTCTGAGTTTTGTAAAAGAGTGATCGTAAACTCAGTTCGTAGTTAATTTTGATAACAATTCTCCTTAATCCTTTTTCTGAAAATATCTTGATTTTTGTTAAGTTAGTAAAAAAATAATTGAATTGGTTAGCTGTTTTAAGTGTTTGATTGATCAATGAAGAGTATGGTAGAACACAGAGCAGAGGGAGTCTGATAAAGTCTTTCTCATCACGTAGTCAGATATTGACCACATGTCGCTCATTAGTGAATTACGTAATTTTTAATATCTTTATAAAATATTGAATTAATTTAATTAATATCATTCTAAAAATTCATCTAAATGATCTATCCTAACAATTAATTAAAATAGTTAACTAAATATTTAGTCTAATAAGCCAAATAACAATAACTATATAAAAATAAATTAAGTGTTGAGGGTGCAAGAATTAATTAAAGGCGTGTGAGGTTTAATAGAGAGGTTCCAAGGAATAGAAAGCCCAAATCCCAAACCTGTCCCAGTTACATCCCTAATTCACAAACAAAAAATAATAACCTACAAAAACAAGGCATATGGGCGCCTCCACCTGCTGTAAACAAAGTAAACTTTTTTTGATTTTTCAATATGAAGACAATAGCTAATGGGACGCTGACACGTGTCTATTTCCAATTAAAACATAAAAATAAATAATTTAAGCCAGAGTATTATGAAAGGAAAAGGAAACAAATCAGAGAGCAGAGGCATCTGAAGAACACAACATAATATCTCCTTATTCAATTTCTTCCCAAACTCCTCTCAAAGTTTTCCATTTTCAAATACAAAGAACAACACCTAAATCGATTGGAAATTCGGATTGTACCTGGTCGTGGTGGCGAGACTCGGAGGCCCGGATTGGTTGTCGGAGTTGTTCTATGCATGCATCAGCGGATGGGTCGGAGGTAGCAGGTGTGGTGGTTGCATCGAAGACAGAAGCTTTTAGATGTTTCCGACGGTATTGCAGGGACGATCGCGGTCGAGCTGTGCGGTCTGCGACGGCCGTCGAATGAAGCAGCGGCAGATGGAGGAATGGTTGGTGCGGTCGTGTGGAGGTGATGATTCGGTTCATCGGTTCCATCGGAGATGACTTTGTATGGCTGTATCGGCGGAATCGCGACCGTGAGTGGCTGGGGCGGAATCACGTGATGGGCTTCAAGCGTCAGAAGGAGGCAGTCTAGGTGTGGCTTGCGAATATGATTTAGCAGTTCTGTTTCTCAGTACTTCTTCTTTTTCCTGCAAAACAAATAAAGACAACAACATAACAAATCTAAGATGATTGATGAGAAACCGTTATGAGATTTTGTATTTGGAAATTGATCTTGTGATATGAGTTGCTTTTGTTGATATAAGTTAGTTTTGGTTTGTTAATGTTTGAAGTGAGATGAACGTGGCGATCACAGGTTGTTGGCGAGTTTGGTTTTTGGAAGTTGACAATGTGTGGTTTAATGTTGTAATGAACTTGGTGATGTTATTGTAAGAAACAAATATTTGGCAAAACTGAAAACAAGGTGGCGAGTGAATTTTTGTGGAAAATCTAGTATAAGTATTGTGTTAGGAATGAGAGTGGATGAAAGTGGATGACCAATTTGTGGTACGTACAGTGTGAGTTTGGGAGAAAGTGTATGAAATTTTTTGTATCAGTTTCGTAGTGTTTCCGTTTAAAGAACTTGAAATAAATTAAAAGTAAGAGAAAGATTCGGATTGTAAAATTTTGGATGAAATGATCATATTTATAAAATTAAAATTAGGTTAAAAAATTTAAAAGAATGTTACCCAAAACACCGAATAATCCAAAATCTAGTCAGAAAATATTAAAAGTGCAACACAGAGATTCAAACTCATGACCTCTTACTTGTAAGCTTCAATCCTTACAAACTGTGCTATGTTACTCATTTGAAATAAAAAACTCAATTGAAAATATACGAAAGCGAACAAGTATTTGCTATTTAAAATACAAATAATTTGAAATAAACTATTATACATTTTTTAAATAAGCGAAATAAATTATTGTTAAAATGTTAATAAAATTGAACCAAAGAATATTATAAAAATCAATGTTAAAAATATTTTTAACTGTAGAAATAAAGGATAGACAAATTTGGGGTATGCCACTATCTTTTTGATTCATAGGTAGAATCACTTTCCAAACCAACTCTCCAATCGAAAATACTTTGATTTTTACCTTTTTATAATATGTCATTTCTACTCTCTTCTTATGTCTTCTTAACAATTCCAAGACATTTAATATTTCTTCGTTCAAGTCAACCAATTCATCCAACATCAAATTCCAATAGGATTCAGATGGGAATTCATATTTTCTCTGAATTCTGGTTTACTGGAGATAGATTTCGACTGGTAATACTGCGTTGTTTCTGTATGTCAAACGAAAGGGCATAATGTTAGTGGCTTCCTTTGGAGATGTTGTACAAGCCCAAAGAACTTGATCTAAGGTTTTATGCCTATTTTTTGGCTTCTTTCCTACGTGCTTATTTATTAGCCCAGTCACTACTTTATTTGCCGCCTCGACTTGACCATTTTCCTTGGCATAATAGGTGTAGATGTTAACAGTTTAATCCATACTTATTTAGCAAACTCATGTATCTTTCGACTAGTGAACATTGATCCTTGATCAGTTGTAATAGTCTCGGGGATTCCAAATTTGTAAGTTATGTGCCTTTAGATAAATTCAATCACAACCTCTTGGTCGACATTTACAACAGGAATTGCTTCAACCCATTTAATAAAGTAATCAATTCCTACAAAAATGTATCTTTAACCATTAGACGATGCTGGTCGAATTTCACCAACCAAATTTAAGGCTCAGCCTCTAAAAGGACAAGGTTTGATTATTGAGTGTAGTTTGCTTGCAGGAACATGTTGGATACCTGCATGTACCAGGCACTCTTGGCATCCTTTAGCAAACTCAATTCCATCTTTTAACATTGTTGGCTAGTTGTTGGCTCCTAAATTCGACACCCTTGTTTTTATTAATATCAGCCATTAAAGCTGAAAGATGTTTTCGACCAGCTGGGTCTGTCGAAATGCCCATCAGAAGATGGCAATGTACTTAGAGGATTTCTTCCAAGGGAGAATTTGGTTGCCTTCGACGTCGAAGGTGTTTCTCGTCGAAGATACTTCTCGACGAAGGTGTTCGATTGTTCAGAGTGGAACGGTTTGAAATTCAAACGTTTGGAGGGAAAACGGTTCCCAGTGGTTACCAAGTGCAACGTGCAAAGATCTGGAGCGTCGAACGCTGAGAACGTGCCAAGTGGAGTCATCTCGAAGCAGTGTAACTGCCCGACGGTTACTTGGGATGTGTTTAGTATAAATAGTAGTAGTTCACGCAGTTTTTCGCGTGTGTTCACAATTATATACAAGTCACTCATATAGATTCGAGTACCCAGCGTGTGAGAAAGAATTGTTGAGAATGTATGTGTGAAACACCACTTTTATTAATCAAAGTCATTTATTTTCCAGAAACTTTACTTGCTTTCTCCTTTACTTTTCCTGTCGAAGCCTTTATTTCAAGCCTTCCTTTATTTTATCAAGTTCTCATCTTCATGCAATTTACATAAAGCTTCTTTATTTTCTTGTCATTTAACCATTATCAAACTTAGTCAAAACCCCAAAAATCAACCATGTCTTAGGATCAATCTGATCGATCCTGCGAGTAACCAAATAAGTAACCATTTGGAAGATCAGCGGTTGTTTACCAATTCCCACGGTAAACAAATTGGCACACCTGGTGGGACTGTGTGTTGATTTTTGAAGTTTAACCTTTTTAAACAAAATCTCATCTTTTTCGAGAAGTATTGCATGTTATTGAGAAGTGGTAGAATATACACTAACAATACCAATACTGCCAGAAGAAGAGAAGCAATGGCGAATCCGCCAAACAATAACGAAATCCCACAAACGAATATGGGATCAACGGTTATCCCAACCGTAAGTGAAGCGATAACCGCTGGTTCAACACCAGCAGTAACGGTCACAACAACGGGGCATTTACCTCCGTTCACAGGCCCCAGAGTGCCTTTGGGAACTCCCCCACCAAGGGGAAATTTAGGCACAAGGCCTTATGTTCCCCCAGGATTTATGACAGGCGGTCATAATCGAGAACCACTATATGGCATGCCAACTTCTGACTTGGCTAGCCTGACGAACGCTGCGTCCACTTTTTCAGACCCTTTAGTGAGTGCCTCTTCGCCACTCCAAGGTTCTGGAGTAGGTATGGCGAATAGAAACGGGACCCAACTCTTAGGAGGAACGTCCCAAGTAGCACATGGCCTTACAAATGCCTCGACAGCAGTCTTGAGGCAACAAATGGACGAAAGCAACCATGATATGGTTCAAATGTTGGCACAAACTTTAAGTACAGTGTTGAACCCTCTAATACAAAACACCACCCAATCGAATCAGCAGATGACCGCGCAAATGACGCGTTTGGCTGATTTCTTTGGGGTACCCCCACCTATTCGACAGCCCCAAAGGGCGCAAATAAGGGGAAACCAAGGTATACTCTTAGAGGAAGAAACCACTATCAACCAAGTCCAACAGCCTGTCGAAGAAAACCTTAGGGCACGATTGGAGCAACCTGTCGAAGAACCTAGGGTAATAACCCCAGAGGTAAGGTTAGTTAACAGAAACCAAAATGCTGACGAAGTAGTTCAGCATATCCAATACCAAAATATGGGTTTGGAAAATAATCTGGCAGCCATGATCGAAAGAATCATGACTCAAAATGGGATGAACATGGGCTTTCGAAGGCCCAACTTTACATCCCCACTGTCAGAATACGTGTTACAAACAGACTTACCTCCTAGATGTAAAGTCCCTAAGTTCACTAAATTCTCTGGGGACACGACAGAATCTACTGTCGAACATGTGGCGAGATACTTGATCGAAGCAGGAGATATTTCAAACAACGAAAACCTGAGGATTAAGTACTTCCCAAGTTCTTTAACAAAGAACGCTTTTACTTGGTTTACAACTCTCCCCCCCCAATTCGATCCATCATTGGACCCAGTTGGAGAGATTGTTCCATGAGCAATTCTACATGGGACAAACCAAGATAAGCCTGAAAGAATTGGCCAGTGTAAAGAGACGTTTCACTGAACCTATAGACGAATATCTAAATAGGTTTAGGTTGCTCAAAGCAAGATGTTTTACACAAGTGCCAGAACATGAGTTAGTCGAAATAGCCGCAGGCGGTTTAGATTATTCCATTAGGAAGAAGTTAGACACTCAATACCTGAGAGACATGGCCCAACTGGCCGATAGAGTTCAACAGGTAGAACGCCTCAAAGCTGAAAAAGCAAAGGCAACGAAAACTCATAAGAGAGAGAGGATAGCGTATGTTGAGATGGATGACGAAGATCCAGAAACCTTCGACGAAACTATAACTGTCGAAGAAGGAGAAGTCGATTTAGCGGAACTAAAACAAGGGCCACCATACTCTTGCAAACTGTTAGTCCCCTCAAGTGGGAAAAATCCCACTGGTCCAGAAAGGACCAACGATAGGTTCCCCAAAAAGACTTATAGTTTTGATATTACAAAATGTGATGAAATCTTTGACTTGCTTGTAAAAGATGGCCAAATGATAGTACCCCCAGGGGTAAAAGTGCCTCCTCTTGATCAAAGAAACAAGAGAGGCTTTTGTAAATATCATAATTTTTTGGGCCATAAAACGTCTCAATGTTTTCTTTTCAGGAATCTTGTGCAAGACGCTATCGAAGAAGGGAGGTTGAAGTTTGCTGACAAGACCCCCATGACTGTGGACTCTAACCCGTTGCAGGCTGAAGCCCATTATGCTGAACCCTCAGAGGTGAACATGATCGAGGCATCCAGGAGCCAGTCGAAGAGGCCAGGAATCACAATGGTCGAAGTCTCAAAGGACCATGTCAACATGCCAATCTTTGGCAGTTTTTCTGGGAATCTATCCAGAAAGACAATTGAAGCGGTTCAAAAGGCGGTCGAAAGCCCAAAGCTGAAGACAGTCGGAGCCCAAAAATCTGGAACAAAACCCAATTCTCACTTGGCCGCAGTTCAAGGCCAGACAGAGGGCTTGGA